GACGCCGAGGTTGGTGAAGGTGTGTATCGGACCCCATCCACGACGAGGCCTCTAACTATGGCCAATGCAGATGCGAAGATCTTTTCTGCATGTACGGCGCGGGTTCTCACTCGTAAAGTTGTTCGTTGCGGGTGTCTTGCGCTGGCCTCAGAAGTGTTTCAAAGGCAGGGGCATGCTAGTGAATGTCATGGAGGCTGAGCAATCTTTACTTAACACCTTCGTAAACGATCTGGGCTCGCCCTGACGGATTTTGAATCTGCCTTCTCCTCCATCGTGATCACATGGAACTTGCATGTTCTTTGGGGAATGGGTATTCCTTAGGCGCTCGAGGCGTTTGTTTCGGGTAGATGTCCGTCAGGTTGATCCAAGTTCGATGCTCTTCTTTATTTCAAGTGTTGAACCGGTTATGGCTTGGATTGAGTGGAAGCTCCTGGGGCAGATTGAAGTGTCATTTTCGTATGCGGGTGGCCTCGGCGTTGGAACCAGGTTTGAGTGTGTGTTTCGGAGGCAAACTAGCTTGAAACATTAACTTCAAACAACTCTAATAATATTCTGATCCAGCTCTGATTCAACTCTGGCCCGGAACTCTGTTTCATTTTTGATGTTCTCGAAATTCTGATCTAACCCTGGTCTGAACTCTGATTTAACTCTGATTCGGCTCTGTCCCCGACCAGAGCTAAATCAGAGTTTAATCAGAGTTCCAGACCAGAGCTAATTCAGAGCTTCAGCTAAACCAGAGAAATGAACCAGAGTTTCAAGCCAGAGCCAAATCAGAGTTTCGTAAGAGCGCGCCCGTGCGGAACTCAATACTCGAAAGGGGGACCCAGGTTCAAGCTACTCCCCCTCCTTCCTTCGAAAAGGGGGGGGGGAGCCCCCCCGTCTAGAAGGCCCCAGAGCTGGCCCAAGAGTTCACGCAACATCGCGCGGTGGACCCCTTGGAGGAGCGCCCAGGATAATTCAGAAAAACCCAAGATGCTTAGAATATCGCCCCGAACCGCCCCGGCGGCCACCGCGAAAAACTGGTCGGCCCCCACGACGGGGCCAGAGGAAACATTTCAAAGGGGCCCGAGGACCCTCCTCCCAAAGATGAGCCCCGAGACTGAGAGCAATCACCCGAGCGCCCTCCAAAAGGCCGCCAGGAGCCGAAAAACCTCCGGGCAACCCCCGACACAAAATCCTGATGCCCGCGAAGAGCCCCCAAACATCCCACGGAGCCTCATATTTATTAGTGTATATATATATACATACATACATACATACATACATACATACATACATACACACATATATATATATATATCGGCGGGATGGGCTGAGAGCCGAAAGGATCGTCGCCCCGGGAGCTCGCGGCGCGCGGCGCATTCAACGGATTCTGGGCGGTTTTCCAGCCAGCTGGCCGAATCGTAGACGCGCGCGCACACCTCGCGCTCAAATGCCCAGATTGCCCAAGATGGCCTCCAAAACGGCCGCGGCCCCCCCGCGACGGCTCAAAGTTTCGTTTCGAACACGCGCGCAGGGACCATGAGCAGCCCCAGTGCCTTTTCAAAACTACCCAACCCGACCCCTTCGCTGAAGAATCCCGATGAGCAGCGCCATGTGCGCTCCTTCTGTTATTCGGCGGTTTTCGCGCCCTCGCCCGCTCCATCGCCCCGAGACGGCCTGCGAGGGCTTCCAAACAACTCAGGATTGCCCCGATATTCTTCCGAAGCAGTACCGGGGCTGTCGACCGCCCAGCGGGCCCCCCAGATGGCCCAGGAAAGCCGCCCAAGGGCCCCGGGGAGCTCCAAAGCGTTTCCGAGACCGCCGCCCAGATGCACCCACCCAAGCAGCCTTTCAATGCGCCGGGTGGCCCGACAGCACCATCACGCCAGACGGCTCGAAACAATCCCGGCGCGGCGCCAAAGATAGCCGAAGGTTCCCTTGAAGGCCCGCCGAAGGCCCCTCCGCAGCATCTCCCCGGCGGCGCCCACGCCGGCATGGGGTCGACCCCCGTGCCGCAGCGCCTGCCCCGCTGAAATCTCGCCCGGCCCCTTCGCACCCCGCTGGGGCTCTGAAAATCTCCCGGGGCCTCGCGTCGCCTCCGACGCCGACGAGGACCCCCCCCCGCCCTTCCCCGCGGCTCCGAGCGGGCGCGGGGCAATGCGGCGACTCTCGGTTCCCAGCCGCTCTACACCACGAAGCAAGAACCACTGCTAGTCCGATCATGCACGACCCCCCCGCCGACGACGCAACAACGGAGGGGGGGGGAAACGTGTCTGAGCGAGCGAAAGTGCCCGGCGGCTGCCGGGCAAAACCAGCCCGCTGACAACGCGAGCCGATTTTGGCACACGTTCGCCCCCCTGCCAGTGCTGATTGGAAAAATCGCCCCCGGATGCGCCCGAAGGAGCCCCCGCTGGGGTCCAAAATGCTCCGACGCCTTCCGTGCCCCTCCAAAGCCCGCCGCTTCCCGCGGAACCCTTTTCCGAGCTTTCGGACGCGGCCCCGACGCTCCGGCACCCTCCAGCAATTTCCGAAAAGCTCCCAAGTCAAACCCCCCATGCACCTTCAAAGCCCTGCTAGGCTTTCGACATTCCTCTTGACCTCTGAGCAATCCTTCCCAGCTCGCCCCGTTCCCCCCCAACCTCACCGAGCGCCTTCCCGGGCCACCTCCGCTCTCGAGAACCCTCCGAGTCCCTCCCGGGCCCTGCCCATGTCTCGAAGCTTTTCAGACACCGCCCAGGGCGCTTCCGCGCCCCCAAACCCTCCGAAAAGTGCGGCGCTTCTCCTCTGCGCTGCCCGCCCCCGATCTATCCCAGGCGGGCGGCGGGGATTTGGGCGGTCACCGCGCCGCGCGTCCTTTCGCGGCGCGGCAGCCGGCAGCCCTGCGGGGCGAGCCTCGGGTGTTTTTTTTTCGTCCCAGCCGCAGTTGAGCAAATTTGGGCAGGGCCGCGCAGGCGGGGGGCGCTGCCCCGTGCCCCCCTGCGCAGGCCTTAGCTTTAGCGTTGCCGTAGGGCGGCGTGCGCAGGCGGGCCAAGCTCGCAGTATTTGGCAGCTGGCGGCTGGGCCCCCAGCCATGGTCCGCCGCTCGGCTAGCGCATTCCTTCTCTTGTTCTTGAAGATGCATGCGCGCAGAGCCGACCCGGCAGCGTTCTGGGCCGACGCCGCGACATTGGTTTCGGCACGCCCAAACCAAACTATAATCGTACTTAAAGTAGAGTTCCCAGTCAGACCTAAATCAGACTTGGGTGTCAGGGCCAGAGTTCAATCCGAGTTCCATTCATACTTAATCAGACATGGGACTTGGGTCTTAGGGCCAGAGTTAAATCGGAGTTCCAGTTAGACCTAACTCAGAGTTCGCGCTGAGGGCCAGACTTGAATTAGAGTTCCAGCGCAGACATGAATCAGACCTTCAGAGCTTTGGGCCTGAACAGAGACACAGAGTTTGCCCTCAAAGGACACACTCAAAACCAGACGTCTACTGGATGTCAATTATCCTCTGTATACCTGTTCGGTGTGTCTGAAGGATGTCATCGGCCTCTTTGGAACCCCCGAAGAGTCAGACCCGAATGGTCCATGCGAAGGTTGCTGAGCCCTCGGCAGATCTTCTAGAGGACCTTTGCCACCCCTTCCCGTGTCTGGAGCTTGCACGCCGTCTATCTTGGGATCTGGATCGGTGAGGGGGCTGAGGACTGTGTCTGGGATGAAAACATGATGCCGCTTCGGAAGAGGGTTCGTGGGATCAAACCCTTGGGTTTGGGCTGGGCACAGGCGATTGTTCCATTTCGAACGTTCGGTGCATTGCTTCTTTACGTTGTCCTGCTGATGCATGCGCTTTCGAAGTTACTGATTTACGCCTAATTACGCGTGTGTCCGCTTGTTCACGGATGGGTCCAACTATGCTCTCTCCTATGGCAGATGTACAAGCCTCACCAAGTTCGTTTTGCCGTTTGAGTTCCCAAACTACCCATATTGATGTTGTTACGCGTGCCACATGTATGGCCAGATGTGATGAGTTACCCCGCATGCGTGGTGCATATTTAGAGAGGCTTCAAGACGGCGGCTGGTGTCCTGTTTGCAGCTTCATGAGTTGGGTGTGTCTTTTTTTTCCAGAATACGAATTTCAGGATTGGAGGTCTTCCCAGAGATTCCGGACTTTGCGTGGGCGCAAGGACGTTCAGAAACATTATAGATCAAAGTTGAAACGTTATTATGTTCCCGCCGAGCCCCCCGTGCTGGTTTTTTTTCCGCCGTATGAGAAACCGCCCCCTGGTGTCACATTTCCTGGCCTGGCCCAAGTGCTCCGTCGTGCGACACGTATGTCAACTCGTTATTGCATGTACATTCCCTTGGCGGTCTTTAGGGCGTTTTTTAGGGATGTGAATGTGCACAAGCGCGAAGTTCCACTCCAAGCCTCGTGGGTGTCTGATGGTCTGTGTTTCGTGCTCTGAAGACTTGGACACGTGAAACAACCTCTGGCTTGCCCTCATCTGCGCAAGCTGTTTGATTCATGGATGGGCATACGGGCTCTGAGGTCTCCTGAAGGTTCGCCCTGGTCTTCCCCCTTACCTACTGTTTCACGGGGTGGGACCTGACCGAGGCCTTTTTTTCATACATGCTACGCTGTTTTTGCTCAGCATATTTTTTTTTGTCCGCCGCTTCTGTCCTGGGACCCCATCGCAGATATTTGAAGCTCGCTCGCTTGCGCGCGCAGGCACGTCGCCACAGAACCTGCAGAGCCACATTTCGAGAGAGAAAAAACGGCCCGCCCTCCATACGTAACGTTTCAGCAAACTTGTAGAACGAATGCGCGCGTCGCTCAGGCGCGAACCGCCTTCTGAAAACGGCCCACCCTCCATCCGCGAGTCTGTTTCAGGATTAAGCTTCAGGATCATAAATGGTGAGGGGGTCTCAGCCGTAACGCCAGGCCCGCCCTACCGACACGTCCGGGGGTGTGAAAAGGGAAGAGTTGGGAACAAGGAGCAAGTATGGAGGAATGGGGGTGGGAGCCCCTCCGACCCCAGGGCCAGCCGAAGTCGGTCCTCCGCGCCACCACCTTCCGCAGGCGGCGGTGGGCCCAGGCAGCGGCAGAGCGCGCAGCAGGCGCCGCGCCCCCTCGCTGTCGGCAGGGCGCGTGGGTGTCGAGGGCGGCTTCTTTGACTCGGAAGAAGGGGAGAAGCGCCACCACCACCAGGGGAACCACCTCCAACGAACGGGTCAACGGTGCCTCCCGACCTAGGGATGAAAGTGCCTCCAGCGGAGGGGGGTGACACACCACCAGTAGGAAGACCTTCCCTGGCGCCTCGCGTTGGTTGTGGTTGCGTCGCCTTTCCATGTTGCCCTGAGGAGGGGGGCTCTGACGCTGCGGGGGAACTCAGGAGCACGCCGAAGGGCGAGAGGGGAGGCCAGGTGCCGGCGACAGGGGGTTGCGGACAGCGACGCGCGGGGGCGGCAAGGGGGCCGCGGACGGGTTGGGGGCGGACGACGGCAGGGAGGCGGAGGGACGGCGGCATTCGCCCGCATGGCCACGGGAGTACAATAGGCTGGATGTTCAGTTTGGCCACGCCCTTGCCGATGTGTCCTGGCGAAGGACCCGGCCAAATGCAGGCGCGAGTGCCGCGCAGGCGAGATGGAGGAGGGGGCAGGCATCGCGTGCGGACTCTGCCGCTGGGGCCTTCGGTGGCGCTTTCGATGGGACCACGAGACGTTTGAGGGGAGTGCCGACAGCGGGCGGGGCTACCATGCGGACCTCGCCGCTGGATGCCTTCGGTGGAGCTTGGAGCTTTCCATGGGGCCACGGAGCGTGCGAGGGGTGTCACGCGGACCCTGCCACGCGGGCCCTGCCACGTGGGCCCTCGGTGGGCCTGCCACGTGGGCCCTCGGCGGGCCTGTCTGTGAGGCCACGAAGCGTGCGATGGGTGTGCCGAAATGGAGCAGGGCCGCCACGCGGACTCTGCCACTGGGCCCTTCGAAGTTGACTTGCGGAGGGGAGAGGCAAGGATGGGATGAGGAAGGAGGGGGGAGGAAAGGAGGAAGGTGAGGTGGAGCGCTTCGCTGCGGATTCGAAACGAGCACCCAACACCGCAGGATGGTTGGGAAACCCGTTGTTCTGGTTGCACATAAAGAGCCTCGATCGTGCTCGTCGTCGTCGTCGCCGTGTTTGTTTTTTGAGCGTGCTCTCTTTCGCATGAGAGACCTCGATCGGTTTCGTCCCTGCGCATGGCGAGCCTCCGCCGATTTCGGTGTGCCAGGGGGAAAAGGTGTCGGGGTCACAATGCATAGCGGAGCGCGGTGCTCGCGGCCGCACCGCAATTTGAATTCGAGCCCAAGCGCGTGCCGTTGCGACAGTGCTTCAGGCCTTGCCCGCCCTAGCCACAAAGAACGAGCCAGCGGGTCCCGTCAAGTTTCAACCTTCCTCCCATAAATCAGAGCCGTGACATGAGAATCAACGGCGGCACAACCTGACATTTGGGCTGGAAAGCGTCTCCAGCTATCGAGTGTCAGGCGTTCGCGCGCGGTCTAGCTTCCGACGACGTGGCTGGAGCGGGCTGGCAAATGCGGAGAATGAGGACGGGGAGGGGGAGGAGAGGATGATCCATGAGGGGGTTGGGGGAGAACGCCGAACTCCCCCATAAGCCATCGGGGTCATAGGATTGGTGCGCCCTTTGCCTAAAACATTATGTTGACATGCTCCCGCAGTTAGGTGTTGGGTCATGTTTTGGACATGGTGCAGGTTTTGCTCGGTCCTTTCGCTTGATCGCAGGGTCCTCCCGTCAGTCCATCTGTTCGGTCGCATTCGTTCACGGCCCGTCGCCTGTCCCCATCGGGCCCTTAGGCCGCTCGATTCAACATCGAGCCGACGATCGAAGTGCCATATGCACAACCAGCAACAAGCTATAATCGCCTCATACATGTTTTGTCGCAGCAAAGAGTAGGTCGGAGACGCTTCGTCTGTTTTTTTGGGGGGCATTTGGGTGATTGAACACGGATGGTAGCAAAGTGCACCCCCTCCCGCATACCGCTCTTGCCACTCTCAGGAGTCGATTGCGATCGGCGGCTACCTTGTATTGTTCGCAGACTCGTCGCCCCGCCTGGGGTCCAAACCAGGCGCAACGTTCGAGTTCCTTTACGGTTCCTTCCCTCCTCCCCTCCCGTCCTGTTCTCAGGCGGCGGTGGCGATCGTCGGCTACGGCTACAAGGCTTGCAATCTCCCCTTTGTTCCCGTCTTGTCTTCGATCAGCGCAGTGCCTGCCTGTTGCCTTGTCCCTACCCTTGCCCGGCAGCCCCTGCGCCTGAGCTGCCTTGGTACGCGAACACGTACTCCAGATGTCGTAATAAAGGGAGGGGGGTCTCATTTCGGGGGGGGTCTCTTCCAGGCTATCTTGTAGGGAGTGGGGGGTCTGGGGACGATGTTTTGGCGGGTTCTCCCACGGGGGGGGTCTGAAATGGCTTGTCTTGGAGGGTCCAGACCCCCTCCCTTGTATTACGAAATCTGGAGTACCGTGCTCAAAGCGTCCGCGTCAATACGTTGCGTGCTAGCTCAAAGTATTGGCCCACGTTGTCGCGAACGTGCCGCGCCAGGCCTACGCGTTCAGTCTGCGCGCTGAGCTCCGCGCCACCACGCTGCGCGTCGCGTGTTGCGTATCGGGGCAGCTGAGGTCCCTGCCCTTAGCCGGCAGCCCCTACGCCCTACGCCTTCGCAGGCCACTGCCGACCATGCCCCTGCACACGTCCTGCCCCTTCCCTCGCCCCTGGCCAGTGCCCCAGCCTCCCGCCCCCTCGCGCCTGCGCGCCTGCCCCAGCCACACCTGCCTGTGGCCATGCCTGCACTCCTTAGCTGTCTCGATGCGCCCCGTTCCGAAAGGCAGGACGTACCAGGCTCAAACATTACGTGTCACTACGCTGCGTGTTGGCTCAGCGTCTTGGCCCACGTTTCGGCGAACGAATCGCGTCACGCCTACGTGCTCAGTCTACGTCTTGAGCTCCGTATCAATACGTTACGTGTCGCGTGTTGCAAATCAGGCAGCCAAGCGCCAGAAACTCCATGTACCTTTACATGGCTGCGTTGGCCCGCGACGCCGATCTTTGCTTCGCCCTCCTCCATTTCTTTTCCTGGTAGATAACTCCTCCCTGTCGCACCCCGAGGCCGTTTGAAAGGGCGAGCTGGGCATTTCGCCTGAGACTTCCTCATCACTTATCACCTTGATGCTTAAAGCTTGACAACAGCTTCACAGACGGAGGGCGGGTGGTTTTCAAAATGTTGCTCTCGCCTTAGTGCCGCACACACTCGTTTCAAACACATGCAAGAGTTTCACGGATTGAATGCGACTCGTGTTCAAAATGCGGTTCTCGCCATAGCGCCGCTCACATTCGATGAGAGCTTCACGGATTGAGGGTGGGTGGGTTTCAAAATGTGGTTCTCGCCAAAGTGTTGCGCACAGTCTTCCTAGACAGTCGCAAGACATTCATTGATTGATGGCGGGTGCTCTTCAAAGTGTGGCTTTCGCTGTAGCGCCGCGCACGCTCGTTTCAAACATCCGCAGAGTTTCACGGATTGAGTGCGGTTCGTTTTCAAAAGGCGGTTTTCGCCTCAGCGCCGCGCACACTCATTTTTGTTTGCAAGAGTTTGGCGGATTGAGGGCGGGTTGCTTTCAAAATGCGGTTTTCGCTTTATCGCCGTGCACATTCCTTTTAAACACTTGCAAGAGCTTCACGGATGGAGGGCGGGTGGTTTTCAAAGTGTGACTCTCCTTTCAGCGCCGCGCACATTAGTTCGTCAACATTCGCGAGGGAACCATTGTTTTTCATGGTTAACGTGCCCGGATTGGTGTTTGTGTTTGGGAACGATTCAGGGTTTTCAGGGTGCACCAGTTCCGTGGATTCGAGGTGCTGAAGTCCCAGGAATGATGTTCTGGCAAGTTTCAGGGCCGCGAAGACGTAACACTCATGTTAATTCGTGGCGTCGAAGGTCTGAGAGTGGTGTGCTGGCACATTTCAAGATGTTCACACGGGTATCCCCCAACGGGGCAATTCCTTCAGCGGAGATGGCCCCTTGTAGGGGCCTCTGAAGAGGGATCTTGGAGGGAGGGTGTATTTCAACATTGTTGATGGGTCTTGGGTTTATGCTGGTCCTCCTCCTCATTTTCCCCGACTGACGTCCAAGGGGCATTGTGTTTCTTCGTCGTCTTTCTTCTATTACTTCTCCCTTCTTACCTTCTGGCCGACGTTTGTGTTGCGACCTGCTTGGGACGCCGCGAGAGCGTTCCAGGGTGGGGCCGAAGCACCCAGAAAACGATTGTACAGCACTACCTGGACTCGATTGGGCAATAGCCTAAGTTTGCAAGATCGCCCTCTAACTCGGTCCACGTGCTGGCGCAGGCAAGTGTCATTAGAGAAGGAGCAGCGTCTTGAACGAAGATGGCCTCAGTCAGTTCTGTCTTTGCTCCGTGCTGACACGTTCCGAAAAAGTAAAGTGAAACTCAAAACGTTGTCCAGCCATCTTTTCTTTGTTCTGCTTTGGCTCCTGTGGAAAATCAACTTTGGATGTTTTGACGGGCTCCACATCAGTACCTTGTGCATCAATTCGCAAGAAGACGATTGCGCCACGTGCTGAATCCATTGCCATTTCTGGCGCCGTTGCTGTTGGATCCAGTCATCGGTACCAAGACTGCAAATATGCTGTTCTGCCTCGTCCGTGCTTTTTAACCCAACGCGCCCAAGACTCCAAATGTTTTTCGTCATCCGCTGCCTCAGCCTCATGTCGTTGATGCTACGCGGTGTTAGTGCTACTTCTGTGGTAAACCACCGGCGCGTGGCACAGCAATTTTGGCAACCACGCTGCCCACTCCTCCCTCCTCTTCCTTCTCTTATCCTAGTCTCGGTTGCGTCTGTGGAGAAGCCGGTCTTGTTTGACTGCCAAGTTTCTTTCGCAAGAGGATTACGCCATTCCGCCGACACCCACAAGAGGATATGTGCGGCTTCTGGTTTCGTATGTGTTGTTTCCCGCGCCCCTTCGTGCTGCTTG